TTACCTTATGGTCAGCAGGGGTATGCTGATGATGAGTCGTACGGCGAGAGGGAGCCGGGTCCAGAGGACTATGACTCGGACGACTCTTCAGATGATCAGGACCACGCACAGCCTACGGGTCCTAACCACCCTCGTCCTCCTGTACAGCCAGTTCGTCCGGTACAGCCGGTTCTACAGCATGTTCGTCCGGTACATGCTGTTCGTCCCACACAGCCTGCTCTTCAACGACAGGCTGGGGGGCGTTTTGGCCCATCTGCATCCTCATCAGGTAAATAATTTACTTATTTATTGTTTTGTAATTATTTAGGGTAAGTTGAATAAATTGTAATTAATTATAAATTCAAAAAATAATATTAATAATTATAAATTATGTGTGCTTATAATAATAACGTAAAATGTAAAATGTAACGTAACTAATGAAATATGTTTTATTAAATATATTTTATTTAATGCATCTACCAGCAAGTACAGATATGTTGTATTTTACTGCAGGTACTAGCAAACGAGCTAGGACCGATGATGATGCACCCTGGATCGTTAGAGGCCCAGTGCCCGGTGGGCCCATTGATGGGAGTGTCATCCCTAGCTTTCTTGGGCACGTCGCCTCCCGCATGTGGAGTGGGAATTTGAGGGGGCCGCTGAAATGCCACAACAGACTGCGAGCGATCGAGAATCTGAAGGCTTGGCGTGAAGAGATGTCTTCCGATGCGGGAGGTCTTCTCGACCAGACCGGGCTGTCACATTTGGTCGACTCCATGCACACCCACTTGGACACCCCACTCCTTTCTGCTTTTGTGGAGCGATGACAGCCGGATACTAACTCGTTTCACATGCCTTTTGGTGAGATGAGCATCATGCTGCACAACGTCCGGGCCATTTTGGGCGTTCCAGTGGAGGGAGTCGTTGTCGCTGAGGACCCGGATTCGGACGCCTGCCATGGGCTCTGCATGTCGATACTTTCGGTCAACAAGGGCGAACTCATGAGTTCGTTCTGGCAGCGTGGTTCGGTGTCCGAAGCCGCCATTTTGAACATCTCAAGTCAATTACTGAATATGTTTATTTGTTCAAAACAACTTGTGAGGCGTTACAATCTAGACTTAAGTAGACAACTAATCGTCTCGTAGTGAATCATAATGTAATGCCCCGTTTGACTATGGAATTTTTGAGGATTATTTATTATTATTATTATTATTTTGTTCTCATTAATTGTTTGAATGCTATGAAAAAATTATTAATTGTTGAATATGATTTATTTGTCAATTGCCTAATTGTCTAAATATTAATTAATTGCCTATTTATCTAAGTGTTATTAATTAATTAAAATATGTAATTGTATTTTTACTAATATTATTATTATTATTTTAAAATTTGATTTGGGTGTATTATAAAAATATATTATATCCGGTTATATATTTATTGTGCGATTTAAATTTGCGAGCCGATCCGATTTAATCTATCGAGCCCAAGTAAACCGTATTATCGCTACATAGTCGGACCCGAGAACCGAACCGTAACCGTGTTATCAAATTTATATTTTCAGCCAACTATGTTTTGTCCCAATTTTCAGTTATATGTTAGCCCAAGTGATATAATCATCCTGGCCCAATGTATTAATTGACCTCAGCCCAAATTGATTCAACACCTTGGCCCGTTAAAGTTCAATCGGCAGATTTCTTTTCCCTTCCTCCTTCACGAGACCGAGTCTTCTCCTTATCTCACCATTTCAAAAATCTGGTTGCGATTTTTATGGATTAGCCCCGCACGTTCTGATCTCTCGCCTCTATCATATATCTAACAGAGGAGTCGTCCTCAAAATCGTTCAAACCATATCCTCTATCCTCTCGCACAGCATCATTTAAGAGAAATATCAATCGCCGTTGAACCTTCTCCTCCGACGAACCTCCACCATCGCCGTTCACCTCTTCGAGCAGTCGCCGTCATCGACGGATTACCAGAAGCCGAGACCTTTAGCTGACAGGCCCAACTCCGGGCAACCCTGCTGCCGACGGATACCACAGTGGCAGTCCGAAGGTCATCGAGGAGTTCAGAGAGCCATTCGAGTTCCATTCGATTCCCGTCCGCCGTCCCGTTTTCCGATCTCGAAATTTCCGAAGACGGGTAACCATTTTTCGAACTCCCTTGTTCTATCCTATATCGTCGTTAGTTCAATCGTGCTCGTCGTATCGATTCTCGTTGATTTTCGGAAATTTGGTTCGTTATGCTCGATCGTTTGTTCATTGTGTTGATCCGTGAATTTGTTCGTTAAGTGATGTGGATATGTTGGAACTCTCATTGTATAAATCGATCTGTTAATTGCTGTGAATACTCGTGAATTTCAGAATCTCAATTTATCATTCGAGCCGTCGTCTTGTTGTTCGGGTCTTGCGAGCCCGTCGTTTATTTTGTATTATGTTCGTTGTTTCGTTTTTGGATCCAAAACCCCGTTTTATAAAAAGTTTTTGAAACTCTGAAATCTGTTTATTTCATAAATTCCCGACCCTGAACCTGTTCAAGCATCGTCGCCGATATTTGGTCGCTGATTTCCAGCTTCTGTTCAGCTGTTTCCAGAAAATTTTATTGGTCAGTCGCAGGCCTGTTTGTTTAAATTTAGTATCCATAAGTCCTTTTTAAAGCATAACCAAGCCATTGGTGCAGTGGTAACCTGTCCTTATTTCCTTGAGTGAGGTTGGGAGTTTGATTTCCTTCCCCAGCACCCAATTTCCATTTTTTCAGCCCAAGTGGTCTCTTATGTGCGCGGGCCGTTCGGCCCGTCCCGCTTCCAGCCCGCCCTTATTACCATGTACCGCCCCCTTTGGACATTTTTGCCCCTGCCATTTTTTTCCAAAAAGTAAAAAAAAAAAAAAAATTGTCCGGCCGCCGAAAGGCCCAAATGGCGTCCGGCCCCGACGGCCGGTCGTGATCGGTCCGACCGGCCGGACACCATGTTTTTTTTAAATAATATTATTATAAATTATTATGTTATATATTCAAAATAATTTGTTATAAATTGGACGTTAGAATAAAATAAAAACTCATTCAACTGAAGTTTAGCAAATAAAAAAGACCATTCAACTTAAAAATGAAAAAAAAGTACCATTGATGCGATTTTCGATTGCTCTGTAACACGAACGAGCATGTCTCTGCAATCGAAAATTGCATCAATGATAATTTTTTTTTTTATTTTTAATTCGTGTTACAGATCATTCAACTTAATGTTTTACAATAAAAAAAAACTCATTTAGAAACGTTACATTTTACATTAATAAAGTACAATGACAATTTTAAACTAATTTATTAAATAATATCACTACTAATTGATTATAACAATAATAAAAATAATTCAAATACTTTCGTAACTAATTAATTGTATAATCTCTCTAAATTACAAAATTATATTGTAGTTGAGGAACATCGTCTGTCTGTCTCTCTCCCGACGAACGGACGCATCTATCCTCCGAGCCTGATCGATCATCGTCAGTCTGTCCCTCTCCCGACGAACGGACGCATCTACACCGCGACTTCTAGTGTGTCGGGGCCAGAACCTTCATAATATTCATTAACCTCGTCGTCGTCATCCCTGGCAGATTGTCTAGGTCTACTAACACCCTGAATAAAAAATATAAAACAATAATTAGTAAATATTTTTTTTGCTAACAAATTACATATATATTTTTAATATATTCTTTAACTATATTTTTATATTGTCCAAGGGGGGGCGGTGAGTAGTAATAGGGTGGCGGTGAATAACGATTGAGTTTTTTGATCCATTTATTTGAACAATGGGGAGAAAAAGAAAATGTTGATAGAAGACGACACCTACCGATTATCTTATACTAATCATAATAATATTATTAATATTTTCTTAATGAAATAAAAAGAAGCGGGTGAAGCAGATTCTCCCTTTCTTCATACCCATGGAGTTGGCGATGACCCAGGTGAAGTTTTTTCTAAATTTAAAGATAATATTAATGAAAAAAGAAGAGAAACTATTTTTGTTTACATTAGCATTATTATTCATTGATGCCATTGATGACTTTCCGCAGGATTGAAAGCGGAGAGTATCGTCCATGGCAAGACATTCCGAGAAATTCTCGGCAGATTTCGTAATGGGAGGGGCTGCAGCCATAGTAGCAAAAAGCGCTGCAGCCCCAATTGAGAGAGTGAAGCTTTTGTTGCAGAATCAAGGAGAGTTATTGAAGAGAGGACAACTTCAAAAACCTTATATGGGCGTTGGTGATTGTTTCCAGAGAGTCTTCCGGGAAGAAGGGACTTTGTCCTTCTGGAGGGGTAACCAGGCCAATGTTATTAGATATTTTCCTACTCAGGTTACCCATCATTACATTTAGATTTATTTGGAGCTTTGAATATTCAATCTTATGTCTGCTAAATGAATTATGTTATACTTGCCTAGTTATATGTTTGGTTCTTTGAATATTTAATCGTATTTCTGTTACAAGATAACAAAGTGGAAACATTATGGGTTTTCTGTTCTCCCCTCTTTCTCTTATTTTTTTCTTGTCTTAGAGATCATTTTTATGTGTTAGTCAGAATCAGTGCTTTGGTATCTATGATATTCCCAATATTGTTATAATGGTACGTTATGATATTATTTTTCCACCTGCAGGCATTCAATTTTGCTTTTAAAGGTTACTTCAAAAGCGTGCTTGGATGTTCGAAAGAGAAAGATGGCTACTTGAAGTGGTTTGCTGGAAATGTTGCTTCCGGAAGTGCTGCAGGAGCTACCACTTCTTTGTTTCTATATCATTTGGATTATGCACGAACTCGTTTGGGCACAGATGCTAAAAAATGTCATATCAGTGGTAAACGACAGTTTAATGGGATAATAGATGTTTACCGTAAGACATTGTCCAGTGATGGAATTGCGGGTCTCTATCGAGGTTTTGGAGTTTCAATATTGGGAATTACTCTTTACCGTGGAATGTACTTTGGTATTTATGACACCGTGAAACCCATTGTCTTGGTTGGACCTCTTCAGGTAAGCGAAAAATCGCTGTATAGTCTATTGTTGCATGATTTTTTTCTGTGGTCGGATCTATTTGTATTTGATTGAATTTGTTGTATCCTGTCTTTTATTATGGCATCTGTTCTCCTGTTTCTAAAACTATTATGAAATTAGTTTTTTGTTGAATTTTGAGTATTAGATGAGCTTATANAAAAAACAGAATTTGTGTTAATGTTTTTTAATATTTAACACTTTCTTGTGTTCTTTTCGCTTGTAGTGGTCTTTATACGCATCCAAGAATACAGCTGAACAATGTTTCAAATGTGCAGGATAGTTTTATTGCTAGCTTTTTCTTGGGCTGGAGTGTGACCACAATTTCTGGGGTATGTGCCTACCCATTTGACACCTTACGTCGAAGAATGATGCTCACTTCTGGACAGCCTGTGAAGTACAACAGTGCAATGCACGCATTCCTTGAAATTATTCGAGTAGAAGGTTTTAGAGTTCTGTTTAGAGGGGTCACGGCTAACATGCTGCTTGGTGTGGCTGGGGCTGGAGTGCTTGCTGGGTATGATCAACTGTACAAAGTACTTTACAGACCTCATTATAGTTTTAGCTAGCAGAAAGCTTTTCTACACAATCTGGCATATTATTAGTCTATCAATGTTGATACTAATCAATATGGAGTTCCGGATTGTTAGAACAACACAGATTTATCAATGTTGTTCTGTGCTCAAGGAAAAAATGGGATGAAAATGGCACTTGTTGAAGTGAAGTTATGGAAAGAGGAAGTTTGGCAGTCATGGAAGTACAGAGTAGCTTTAGTGGGTATCGGATTCGGGCTCACAAAGTGCAAACCAATTGTATTTTAATTCTTGATCAAATTGTAATATTTTGTTTAAATCTTTATATATTTGCTTATTCAGAGGCAAGCATAGATGATTATGATGGGTGTAAATAAAAAAGTAAGAACTGCGTTACGTGTATAGTGATCCAAACGATTATTGATATGTTGTGTAAATTGGATTTGTTCTCTGTTGTTGGTAACTCTCTCTCTTTCTCTCTCTCTCATTTTCCATTTTATAAGGTGATTGTATCAAGAAACTTTAGTAGTATATATTCGGTAATGTTTGGGATCGTACTGTTATGGAGTTATCTTAAAATTAACTTATTCTGATGGCATATTTTTCATTTTATATTTCAGTTTTTGGCTTTGCCATTTTAGCTAGAATTTCTGTTTGGGAAATGGCACTTAGGAAAGCACTGCAATATTACATGGTAACCTTCTTATGTTACTATATTTCTCGTTCTTAGAGCAAGGTTTATTTTAAAAGCTTTTTACTTTCTACCGTAGGTTTACATTTTCAGGTGCTCGGCTCGATAGAATGTGACACCGAAAGCTTGAGATAAGGTGAAAATGTGATAAAAATTCAATTTCTTCTATAGTTCATTAATTGAATTGTTTACCACAAAAATGCAGTGTTTTATTTCCATGGCATTGTCTTTGGTGTTCCATACCATTGGTTTTCTTGTACGTCATCTCAAGACACTGCATGCTCGCTCTCTGATTCAGCACCCATACAATCATGGAAAGTCTTTTTCCACTCCTTTTTTTATTTTTTTATTTTTTTTATTTTAATGATAATCTAATGATAATATTCCTAGGCCAGGAGCCAAAATTTCTTATTGTCAATCAAGGATTTTGTGATTACTATGTTTTATAAAAATTGCTTTATTGGATGTATTAGGCTATTAGCATATACTTAGGTAGCATGGTTAAAGGGAATGGATAGAAATCAGAATAATATCTATCCATTTAATGTATGTACTTAGCTTGATTATAAGGATATCATATACGAATATGATTTAGAGCATCTCCAGTGGTCAAATGTTGTTGTGATAAATTAATTCCACATCAACACATTTAATAAATTTATCATTTTTTCATCTTTAATGTAGAATGTGATCACAAATGTTGCGATGATGTGGACTTAATTAATGTCTACAATGTAGAAGAGAATTTGGTTCATCCATATTTTGTCTACAATGTCCAGTTAATCTTTTCATCTAGAACATGCATTTTGACATTTTGCGTTCACATTGCTTTTTGAAATAAATGTCAGGCAAAATTGTCCAAGGGGAGCGGTGAGTAGTAATAGGGTGGCGGTGAATAGCGATTGAGTTTCTAAATTCAATCCCACGCTTCTTTTTTTATTATTATATATTTTTTGTAATTTGATTTTCCATTGCTTTATTGTAAAGTCGCAAGACAACAAACTGAAAAAATAAAAGAAAATTAAAAGAAGGCCCAACTTGCATGCGTTTTAAATATTTTTTTAATGCTTAAAAGTTAAAAGGGCAAACAACTTGTGCAACTTGCTACAAAACGGTACCAGAAAGAAATTAGTTTTTTTCATATTTTTTATTATTATTTTCTTTTCTTTTTCTTTTAGCAGCTAGTTGGTCTTACGTCCAGAAGGCCAACTTGCAGCTGCAGGCCTAGCTGTTTTGATTCTTCACCTTTATTATTATTAAATTAATGGCTATTAACACTTATTCATTTATGAAATCAAACTCCTGACCCGTTATATTGATTAATAAAAATAGATATTTATGTTATAAATTTTATAATTTTTTTCATCATTTATTAGAATATAACTTTTAATTTTGAAACCATATGTATCTGTTCGATTCTCTAACCTTTGGTCTGTTTGTGAATGGTTTTATCACTCATGTATAATGTGTTTTAAAGTTATTTATATTATTATTTAATTGTATGGATTATTGATAAAATAATTATTGTTTTATTATGTGCTTTTTGTGGAGTTTCTAAGAAACCAAACTATGAAGATGGATAATAAACCATATAAATATTATTTTTCAGTCCTTTGTTCTTTAATTGATTTGTTGACATTCACTAAAGCAAGATTATCAAAATGAAATGTATTATAAGTTTAGGCAAGCATTAAAATACTTTATTCTTTTATATTTTATTCACTTTTTATTGTTATTTTTTTGTTTAATCAAGTGCATTGTTTTGGCAATAAGAGGGCACGGGAATACAAATCAAAGTAACAAATGTGTCTTTTGTTCTGTTTGCAATATAAATAATTCTTTAATATTCTTTATTTTATTGTCTCTCCTAATTATCGTGTTCAATATGGTTCACTCAAAAAACCCTAATCTCTAGCCCCAAATTCCTCACTACAACTAGTCATTGAAAACAACCCTTAAACCTTAATTCTTACAATTTGTAGTCCTAAATCTCATATACGAGGTCTCCTGCTGCCAAACTGCATTTAAACCATTCCTAATAAGCCAATAAAAAATTGCCAGAAAGTTATAATTCCCCAATTTAATTTAATGAAATCTTAGCCATAAATCATTATACATATCTTAGTGATAAATGACAATACAATACCAGTATACCACTGTTACACATAGCATAACGATTAGGTAATCACTATATTCTAAAAAACAACATAAACAAAAATATGATTTTTCTATAAAATAAATATGCCTTTTTTTTTGGTAAAAATGATAGGACAGATCCATTGTTATAGCAACTAAGTCGTGTTATACCAAAATTTATATTAATAATATTTCAAAATAAAAGGATATGACTGGCGAGCTGTTCAAATTATTAAGTCGTATCATACATGACTTTATAATTATAGGGTATAACAATATTTCTAAATTTTAGATAAGCAAGTATTTTTTGTTGATTATTGTGTTAGTGATAATAATATTTCAAAATTCTAAAGTTGTCCAATTCACATACAAGAATTTGTGATTATATAATATTACAAATTTATATAGACTGTAAGTGGCCTGAAATTGCATCACATGCAAATTTTTGTGATGATAATAATATTTCGTAATTCTAAAGTGGCCTGAATTTTGCATTACCTCACCTGATTGCTAACATCCAAATGTCGGCAGCTTTTATGAAAATAAATTTTAAAAAAAAAACAATTATAATGCCTA